GGCGGGGCCTGTGACCTCTTCTGCTGCCCCGCGCTGCAGCCTTTGCTGTACAAAGCTGGTACTGCGGAGCCTCTCTGGGAGCAGGGCCGGAGCCGGAGCTGGTGCTCGGAGGGACCCTGCTTACTCGCCGGCCCTGCTCCTGGGGAGCTGGCCATGCGGCAGGCACTGCAGTATAAGGCTTAGCTTGCAGCTTATGTGACTGCTAAGATTTTGAATGGCTACAGCTGGAGTGGCCAACCCACGGCTTGCGAGCCGCGTGCGGCTCTTCAAAGGACAAATTGCGGCTCTCGTACCTGTGGCTGTTCTGGATCCCCCGTTCTGACCTTTTCTCCTTGCCTAGTCAGGACGCCAGCGAGATCTGATGCTGAGGCCGACGGAAGCCTGCTTGGGGGGGACACAGCTCTTAAAGGGGCAGTGGGTTTTTTTTTCCTCAACTTTTTTCCCTCCGCTCTTTGTGCTGTATCCACCTGTATTTTTGGCTCTTTGTCCGTAATGGGTTGGCCACCCCTGGGCTACAGGGTTACTTTTTTTTTAAATGCTTTTTACTTTCCTACTTGAAAAACCTCAGCGGGGTAGCCATGTTAATCTGTAACTTTAAAAATGAGTAGCCCTGTGGCACCTTAGAGACTAACAGAAATATTGATTCATGAGCTTTGGTGGGTAAATCCACCCGAGGACGTGGGTTTTACCCACGAACACTCAGGATTGGATATATTTTGGTTGGTCGGTACAGTGCTACAGGACCCCTCATTATTCCTGCTTGAGTTAGTCTTCATCTGCTTATTGAAGGATAAAATGGAGAGTGGATCCTCGCGGCTCAGTAGACACCTGATGGTTTCTTCCCCCCCTCTCAGGTTCATAGTAGCAGGGCAGCTGTGCTGTAATGGTTGATATCATAGAATCATAGGACTGGAAGGGACCTCGAGAGGTCATCGAGTCCAGCCCCCCGCCCTCAAGGCAGGATCAAGCTCCGTCTACACCATCCCTGATAGATGTCTATCTAACCTGTTCTTAAATATCTCCAGAGAGGGAGATTCCACCACCTCCCTTGGCAATTTATTCCAATATTTGACCACCCTGACAGTTAGGAATTTTTTCCTAATGTCCAATCTAAACCTCCCCTGCTGCACTTTAAGCCCATTACTCCTTGTCCTGTCCTCAGAAACCAAGAGGAACAAATTTTCTCCTTCCTCCTTGTGACACCCTTTTAGATATTTGAAAACCGCTATCATGTCCCCCCTTAATCTTCTTTTTTCCAAACTAAACAAGCCCAGTTCATGAAGCCTGGCTTCATAGGTCATGTTCTCTAGGCCTTTAATCATTCTTGTCGCTCAAAGTGTCTCACTTTTTTTTTTTAAGCTGCAGTAATTGAAAAATCGGCTCCTAATGAATACTGGAGCTGTCAGCTCCCTCGGCTGCACTGCGCCTGCTCCCTCGGTAACAGGCAGTGGGCCTGGGCCTCGGCTCCCTGAATTCAGTGCAGAGATTCCTGCGGACTTCTGTGGGCCAGTGGCCAGGACCAGCCCCTGAGGAGGTTCTGCTGGGCCAGGGTCTGTCTGATTATTTCCCTCCAACACTTGCATCAGCAGCCCTTTCTAATGACGTGGCTCTACAATGGCCAGTGTGGGGGGGATCCCTGGGAGGGGGGGTGAACACAGTAGAGAACCCTCCTTTGGTCACAGGTTTGAGCAAAGATGAAAATAGGAAATCGCGCTGCCGTGGGGCTCTCGGCGGCGCGGGCACTCGATACGCGGGGCTGGGGACCGGTCACCCGTCGCTAAGCAGGGGGCACTCGATACGCGGGGCTGGGGACCGGTCACCCGTCGCTAAGCAGGGGGCACTCGATACGCGGGGCTGGGGACCGGTCACCCGTCGCTAAGCAGGGGGCACTCGATACGCGGGGCTGGGGACCGGTCACCCGTCGCTAAGCAGGGGGCACTCGATACGCGGGGCTGGGGACCGGTCACCCGTCGCTAAGCAGGGGGCACTCGATACGCGGGGCTGGGGACCGGTCACCCGTCGCTAAGCAGGGGGCACTCGATACGCGGGGCTGGGGACCGGTCACCCGTCGCTAAGCAGGGGGCACTCGATACGCGGGGCTGGGGACCGGTCACCCGTCGCTAAGCAGGGGGCACTCGATACGCGGGGCTGGGGACCGGTCACCCGTCGCTAAGCAGGGGGCACTCGATACGCGGGGCTGGGGACCGGTCACCCGTCGCTAAGCAGGGGGCACTCGATACGCGGGGCTGGGGACCGGTCACCCGTCGCTAAGCAGGGGGCACTCGATACGCGGGGCTGGGGACCGGTCACCCGTCGCTAAGCAGGGGGCACTCGATACGCGGGGCTGGGGACCGGTCACCCGTCGCTAAGCAGGGGGCACTCGATACGCGGGGCTGGGGACCGGTCACCCGTCGCTAAGCAGGGGGCACTCGATACGCGGGGCTGGGGACCGGTCACCCGTCGCTAAGCAGGGGGCACTCGATACGCGGGGCTGGGGACCGGTCACCCGTCGCTAAGCAGGGGGCACTCGATACGCGGGGCTGGGGACCGGTCACCCGTCGCTAAGCAGGGGGCACTCGATACGCGGGGCTGGGGACCGGTCACCCGTCGCTAAGCAGGGGGCACTCGATACGCGGGGCTGGGGACCGGTCACCCGTCGCTAAGCAGGGGGCACTCGATACGCGGGGCTGGGGACCGGTCACCCGTCGCTAAGCAGGGGGCACTCGATACGCGGGGCTGGGGACCGGTCACCCGTCGCTAAGCAGGGGGCACTCGATACGCGGGGCTGGGGACCGGTCACCCGTCGCTAAGCAGGGGGCACTCGATACGCGGGGCTGGGGACCGGTCACCCGTCGCTAAGCAGGGGGCACTCGATACGCGGGGCTGGGGACCGGTCACCCGTCGCTAAGCAGGGGGCACTCGATACGCGGGGCTGGGGACCGGTCACCCGTCGCTAAGCAGGGGGCACTCGATACGCGGGGCTGGGGACCGGTCACCCGTCGCTAAGCAGGGGGCACTCGATACGCGGGGCTGGGGACCGGTCACCCGTCGCTAAGCAGGGGGCACTCGATACGCGGGGCTGGGGACCGGTCACCCGTCGCTAAGCAGGGGGCACTCGATACGCGGGGCTGGGGACCGGTCACCCGTCGCTAAGCAGGGGGCACTCGATACGCGGGGCTGGGGACCGGTCACCCGTCGCTAAGCAGGGGGCACTCGATACGCGGGGCTGGGGACCGGTCACCCGTCGCTAAGCAGGGGGCACTCGATACGCGGGGCTGGGGACCGGTCACCCGTCGCTAAGCAGGGGGCACTCGATACGCGGGGCTGGGGACCGGTCACCCGTCGCTAAGCAGGGGGCACTCGATACGCGGGGCTGGGGACCGGTCACCCGTCGCTAAGCAGGGGGCACTCGATACGCGGGGCTGGGGACCGGTCACCCGTCGCTAAGCAGGGGGCACTCGATACGCGGGGCTGGGGACCGGTCACCCGTCGCTAAGCAGGGGGCACTCGATACGCGGGGCTGGGGACCGGTCACCCGTCGCTAAGCAGGGGGCACTCGATACGCGGGGCTGGGGACCGGTCACCCGTCGCTAAGCAGGGGGCACTCGATACGCGGGGCTGGGGACCGGTCACCCGTCGCTAAGCAGGGGGCACTCGATACGCGGGGCTGGGGACCGGTCACCCGTCGCTAAGCAGGGGGCACTCGATACGCGGGGCTGGGGACCGGTCACCCGTCGCTAAGCAGGGGGCACTCGATACGCGGGGCTGGGGACCGGTCACCCGTCGCTAAGCAGGGGGCACTCGATACGCGGGGCTGGGGACCGGTCACCCGTCGCTAAGCAGGGGGCACTCGATACGCGGGGCTGGGGACCGGTCACCCGTCGCTAAGCAGGGGGCACTCGATACGCGGGGCTGGGGACCGGTCACCCGTCGCTAAGCAGGGGGCACTCGATACGCGGGGCTGGGGACCGGTCACCCGTCGCTAAGCAGGGGGCACTCGATACGCGGGGCTGGGGACCGGTCACCCGTCGCTAAGCAGGGGGCACTCGATACGCGGGGCTGGGGACCGGTCACCCGTCGCTAAGCAGGGGGCACTCGATACGCGGGGCTGGGGACCGGTCACCCGTCGCTAAGCAGGGGGCACTCGATACGCGGGGCTGGGGACCGGTCACCCGTCGCTAAGCAGGGGGCACTCGATACGCGGGGCTGGGGACCGGTCACCCGTCGCTAAGCAGGGGGCACTCGATACGCGGGGCTGGGGACCGGTCACCCGTCGCTAAGCAGGGGGCACTCGATACGCGGGGCTGGGGACCGGTCACCCGTCGCTAAGCAGGGGGCACTCGATACGCGGGGCTGGGGACCGGTCACCCGTCGCTAAGCAGGGGGCACTCGATACGCGGGGCTGGGGACCGGTCACCCGTCGCTAAGCAGGGGGCACTCGATACGCGGGGCTGGGGACCGGTCACCCGTCGCTAAGCAGGGGGCACTCGATACGCGGGGCTGGGGACCGGTCACCCGTCGCTAAGCAGGGGGCACTCGATACGCGGGGCTGGGGACCGGTCACCCGTCGCTAAGCAGGGGGCACTCGATACGCGGGGCTGGGGACCGGTCACCCGTCGCTAAGCAGGGGGCACTCGATACGCGGGGCTGGGGACCGGTCACCCGTCGCTAAGCAGGGGGCACTCGATACGCGGGGCTGGGGACCGGTCACCCGTCGCTAAGCAGGGGGCACTCGATACGCGGGGCTGGGGACCGGTCACCCGTCGCTAAGCAGGGGGCACTCGATACGCGGGGCTGGGGACCGGTCACCCGTCGCTAAGCAGGGGGCACTCGATACGCGGGGCTGGGGACCGGTCACCCGTCGCTAAGCAGGGGGCACTCGATACGCGGGGCTGGGGACCGGTCCCCCGTCGCTAAGCAGGGAGCATGCCCAGGTTATCAGCAAAAATGGCAGGCAAGCAACTTGGTGTCACCTGCTTAGTTTATAACCGCACTCTCCGCTCCAGTGTCCAAGCCAGTCATGAAGCCATCCGTTAGAGCCCTGCACCTGCAGCAGAGCCTTGCGACTGAGTACAGTCTTGGCCAAACTACTGGCCAGTTGTGCCCCCACGTTATAGTCAGTTCCTGTGGCACATTTCCCTAATTTGTGTATGAAAATGTTGTGTGGGACTGTGCCAAAAGCCTTCCTAAAAATCAAGATCTAACACACCTGCAGCTTGCCTGCTTCCCCTCCCCCCCTTCCCAGCCAGGAGCCAGGAACCCTGACACATGAAATGTAGGTTGGTTTGACCTGATTTGCTCTCACCAAGTCTATTTTAACTGACTTGGTTCTGACGTATAACCCTATTGCTCTCTGCTTGCTTATACACTGAGGCTGTGTCTACATTGGCATGATCTTGTGCGCTTTTGCGCAAAAACATGCTGCCTGTCTACACTGGCGGGGAGTTCTTGCACAAGAACACTGACGTTCTAATGTGTGAAATCAGTGCCTCTTGCGCATGAACTATGACGCTCCCGCTCAGGAATAAGCCCTTTTGCACAACTGTTCTTGCGCAAGAGGCCAGTGTAGAGAGGCAACATGAATTTCTTGCGCAAGAAAGCCCTATGGTTAAAATGGCCATCGGAGCTTTCTTGCGCAAGAGAGCATCCACACTGGCACGGATGCATCTGTGCAGAAGCGCATCTCTTGCGCAAAAGCACATGCCAGTGTAGACGCTCTCTTGCGCAAATACTTGAATGCAAAAATTTTTGCGTGAAAAGTATTTGCGCAAAATCTTGCCAGTGTAGACATAGCCTGATAGTTTAAAACTTCCTTCCGGTGTCTTTAAAAGTATTGAAGTGAGGCTGACCAGCGTCAGGACTTCTCTGAGATCCTCTTTGTTCCCCTTTTCAAAGACGTGCGCTGTGTTTCCTTTTCCAGTCCTCTGGAAAACTCTGATCTACTTCACCTATATTAATTCATCCCCCGCAGTAAATGATTTGAGCCTCTTTAAATAGCTCCACTGATTGAAGCTACTGTAATAAAAACAAGCTAGCTCTGGGCTGTGGGGACGCCTGAGACGACTGTCCCCTTCTCCAGGACTCTGAGGGACAGGGCTGTGTCTGGAGAAGAGGTGGTGCATGGCGAGGGAGGCGTTGCTTCCTCTCAATGGCCACAGGAGGGCTCTGGCGCACACCAGCCATCCAGGCACTGTTCAGTAATGGAAGGGTATTTGAACCAAGTGCCTGGTTATTAGGCTATGTTCCTACAAGCTATTACATGGCTGCAGGCTGCAGGCTTGGATCCCCTGTGGCCAGTGTGTTGCTTCCCCCACCTTGCTGCGTGCGTAGATTCACAGTGGAATAAGTCCAGGCAGCAGTCGAGGGCGTCCTTACCACCTACCGTGAGTGTAGGTAACGGCCCGGGCAAAGCCTGCCTGATGGGAGGCCTGTTACTGGCAGCATTCGTGCTGCCTCAGTCCTTTGGATGAAACAGGGCGTGGCCTTTGCCTGTATTTCTCCTTAGTTCAGCCAGACTTCACCAGCAGGCCAAATCAGCAATGCCCCATGTCAGCCAGTGAGTAGTCCCTGCAGCCACCCAGGGGATTCCAGTCCTGCCCAGCTGATTAGCAGAGCACCCACAGCTGGCAGCCTGTGGTTCTACTGGTGGTGCACATGCCAAGGTGCATAAAACAAAATTTATTCCACAACTGTATGAAGGGGGAAAAAAAGAGGCAACATTGGTGAGCAGTGCTGTTCTCTGCACTCTGGAGCGCATGGCAGGGGCCCAGTTGCTGTGGTGGAAGGCATTCTCCAGTTTACCACGTTGCCAGTAACTGGCTGGGCACAGGGTCTCCTGCTGACCTTCCAGCCATGCCCTGGCAGGTCCGACAAGGCACTAAGTTGCCATCCCAAGGAACTGTGTGTCTTGCCTTGCAGGCCCCTGGTGACCTTTGACCTTTTAGGAGCTGATCACCTGGTGCTGGGCAGGCTGGCGCACACTCTGGCAGCCCTGATGCACTTCGCTGTGCGCTCTGTGGTAAGGCCCATAACGCAGCACTTGCCCTCTGGGGGAGCCCTGAGATGGCCTCTGAGGCGCCACTGGCCGTGGTGCCTGTTGCAGCCATTGGGGACTGGCCTTGGGGGAGGAGTGTCGCCAGCCCAGGGAGCAGTTGGCAGATGCTGGGGGCGGGCTGGTCGGGGAACAGGGCTGAGAGCGAGGAACCCAGCAGTCCCTTGGGCGTGTATCTCTTCGGCCTGTTTCCTCAGCTGCACAATGGGGTTAAGCCCCACCGTCCTGCTTCCCACTCGGGCTGTGCGAGGTTAACCAGCTGCAGCAGCTCCCCACCTGCCACAGGCAGAGGCTGGGCCGGGAGAGGCGGGGGGGG